ACGAAAAGTGCCCATCCGACCTACGAAAAATGCCCATCCGACCTACGAAAAGTGCCCATCCGACCTACGAAAAATGCCCATCCGACCAACGAAAAATGCCCATCCGACCTACGAAAAAGGCCCATCAGACCTACTAACGTGTCCAAGCGACAGTTTAAAGTAGGTCAGATGCACCAATATGCTGTTTTTAACGTGCCCATCCGACCTACAGTGCATCGGACCAACCACAGCTGTTAAAACCTCGTGCTTGTAGGTAGGATGGGCAGTAGAGGGGATGGGCGTAGGTCCAAAAATACACCATCCATTCATAGAGTTACCTGAAACTATCATTTTGTTTCATGACATACTTTTCAAAATGCACATTACAGCTGGAGTTATTATCAAGCAGTGTCTGAATAAAAAAAGAAACAAGAGAAATTGATTGTGAATATATTTGATTATTTTACAAATGGTTTCTTAGGATCTGGATTCAGATCCATTAGACCTGAAACAAAATTTGGCTTTTTGGATCTGCAAAAATATCGACTAAAAACTGTATAAAACTTTTTGCACTTCAACCCCAAATCTGAACTGCTAAGAAAAGAGACATTATTATATAAGTTTCCTTATCTTCGAAAGGTTTTTTGAGGTAAAGCAAAAACAGAAGTAAATCAACAAAGAAAAAATGCTTCTTTTGCTAAAAAAAGCAATGAATCTTAAATGACCAGGATCCTTAGCACTGCTTCCAAATATATTTTACTTTAAGTTCTGAACCTTACATATAAGAAAATAACGTTACCCTTCGGAGACTTGATTTCACACAATCGAAGAAGGCTTTATCAGTTTCCCACGCTTTGCAAGTCTATAATATAGGAAAGATTTGTTGTGTCTTCATTTTTACGATAAATTAAAAATATAAAAACCAAATCAACTGTCCTGACAAATTTCAATCTTGGACCCTACCGTGGTGGCTGAATCATCCCATTCTGCGTAGGTTGCAGTACACCACAAATGGTTTGTAACATCAAACTCCACAATGTCAATCTGTAATTGTAAAATATCTGATTAAAATATCTACTTTTTTTCTGACAACAGAGATGTAGTTTATTTTAGGGGATTGTAATATGCAACATTGCAAGTGACACTCCATACAAGGATGAGAATGCCCAATTACAACGGTACCCTTAAAAGCTTTTTCTGCAAAAGTGACTTGATCATTACATGCTTTTAAGAAACACTGGAGAAGTGTATGCACAGAATTAACAACTTTTTGAGTAAGAAAAACGATGTTATCTTTCACATTTTTGATCAGATGAGGATCTCAAGGGTGTCTTATCACTTGAAATTACACTTACAGTCCCTTTAAGTAAAACTGTGATGAATAGAGTGAGAAATTAATTATACCGAATCTTGATCCTCCACATTGTACACAATACTGATCTCTTCTCCAGGCATGTGTAATCTTGCATTCACTTTGGTCTGTATTATAAACAATATCATAGTACTTTTAACACTCTTTTGCATTAAAAGTTTTACACATGGAATTTGTTTTTTCATGTACTCTTTTGTTATTTAATTAAATTTAGACTTTACCTTAAATAAAATGGGATGGAATTTATTCTTAGCTGATTTTTCCTGGGAAATCTTCATTCTTAAAATCATTAGACTGTGCTTGCAAGTTTAGTTTTTCCTTTACGTACAGTGTCAAAAAAAAATTAATGATTAAGGTTGTTTAACAAAACACAAAAATGTTGTTTGCAGAGTTCATGTTTTAGATGCTAAAAACATTAAAATATTATCAATGCAAAAAAAAACTTTGAAGATAGAAAAATATCCGAATACATTTATTTAAAAAAGAAGTCAGCAGAAATTACTTGAAATTGTCTATTCTGTTCTAATTATTTGTTCAAATCTTAAAAAACTAAAACTTAAAAATGTACTTGCTGTAAATAAATTCGCCCTGTTATGAATTACATTTTGAATAACAAAATTGTTTGATGATGATAACAAAATGTACGGAAAGTGTTGTCTCCTAAGCAAAGACAAATAAAAACCTCATATGACGCCACACTCGCCACTACAATCAGTGATGTCATCTGAGGTTTTTCTATGCTAAGGAGACGACATTCACTTTTCATTGGAGCGCATGGAGAGTTACCAACCTTATTATACAACCTTGATCTGCACTGATTTCGTTCTACAACTTTTTTTTAAAACTATTTATCATTAGATTTTTATTAAACTTCGGAATGAAATAGAAAAAACAAAAACATTTTTAATAGTTTTTTCTTAAATTTGACAAAAAAGTTATTGCGCAGATTTTTTATATACCAAAAACTTACTTTAATATTTTTCTACCTAAAATGCAAAAAAATGAACATTGCAAACATATAAATATTGTTATGTAAAACAACGCTAATCCCAGTTTTTCTTCACTCGCCCCTGTTATTTTCTTGTTTTGTTTTCACAATTTATTCAAATCTTTTTAAACAAATGATAAAATTCAAGAACTAGTAAGTATTTTCCCTCCAAAATACCACTTATAACACTGATGATAAAACAACTTCTACAAGTACAGTCAACTAGCTACTCTAGTTATACTCACTTTGAGGTGAGAGCCAAGCATTTTCCACTCATTGTGTTCAATCTTTCAACATAGTAGTGTTCCTCTAAATCAGTGATGTTTACCACAAGATCCTCAATTTTCCTTGCCACTTTTTCATATGTATCAGAATTGTACCTAAATGTCACTTTGTTATTTAACATTGCTTAGAAGATCCATTCCATTTAAATGCAGTTCTGGATTCGAATCCTTTAAAATAGAGGATCTGGATTTGAATCCTTTAAAATAAAGGATCTGGATTTGAATCCTTTAAAATAAAGGATCTGGATTTGAATCCTTTAAAATAAAGGATCTGGATTTGAATCCTTTTAAATAAAGGATCTGGTTTCCTAACTTTATTTACCATTTGAAGATTCAATGTTTTGCGTGGTATAAAAGTTTCCACTTGAATCCAGATATTTTTGTGGATCCCGATTCAATGAACTATAATGTTGCAGATATCGTTATATCGATATCGTAACGATTGTTAACGAAGGGTCGTCGTAAACGATCATTAACGAAGCGACAAGTACTATAACAACTACCATTTTCAACACTTTAAAAACGACCATTTTTGAAAAACAAACTTTTTTTAAAAAATGATCGTTTTTAAAAACGATCGTTACATTTTCGATTTTTCGTCGTCGTTTTCATAACGTAACGATCGTTTTTCAAAAATATTTAAACGTTAACGTCCCTAATTACAGCATGGATAAACATAAACATGGAAACAAAGAGAAGCTTTCAATTAACAGCTTCTCTTTGTTTACTTTTAAACCTATTATTTTGAATTTTTTTGTTTGAAATAAGAACTGAAATAGAAAAGTCGTCTTCATTGTATTGAATAAACGTCTACTTACAGATTTTCCCATGCAGTATGTTGTACAGGATCAAACGGGCAGAATGAGAATGTAGGTGGAGATATATTCTCCGGTAAATCATCAGTAATATTATCTGTGAATGACTGAATACAGATGGGTTTAAATTTCTAGATCTTTATGTATTGTACGAAACATGACAGTTGATTTCAAAGTAAGATGTATTTGAGTAGAGCATTTTTTAACAAATTTAATTGCAAAAAGTATTTAATATCTAATATAGTATATGGAATTGGGGAACTTGTTAACACGACAGGAATGTTCTTAACTTGGTTTAAAAATTTATAGTTGAGTTGGTCGACTTTTAAAGTTGTATTTTTTAAGGATAAACTGGGTTCCCATGTTAGTTATTGAATATTATAAACCATACAAATATCTATAAAGCCCTTCGCTCATATATATATATATTGTACAATGATCAGGACCAGAGTTTGAACAAATTAGGAAGAAAATGTTTTCTATCTTTAAAGATTGTAAACTCAAGGTTACAATAGAGGGAAATGTTACAGTTACAGGATTCTTGGATGTTTATTTTGATCTAAGAAAAGAAAGTTTTAAACAGTACAGAAAAAACAATGAGATTCCTGTTTATATCAATGCCAAGTCAAATCATCTATAGGTCTATAAAAAAGAACTTCCAAAAATGATTGGAAAAAAAGAGTTCCTAATTTATCATGTTCCAGAGAAGTTTTTGAGAATAAATCAAAACCCTATATGGATCTACATCAAGCAGGATACACAGAGAGCCTAGAATGCAAACCAATCTTATCAAAACAGTGATAAAAAGAAAACAAGATTAAGAAAAATTATTTGGTTCAATCCTCCTTTTAGTGAAACAGAACTGAGAAAATACTTTAATAGATCAACGATTAAAGTATTATATTATTTTAAGACAAATATTAAAGCAGTACTTTCTGAACATAATAAGAAACTTTTGAGTAAAACCTTTAAAACAAATCAAGATAAAAATGTACAAGATTGTAATTGTCGTGGTGTAACAAAGAATTGTGTTCTAAATAGAAAATGTCTGAGTAAAGGCGTGGTTTATAAAGCAGAAGTGATATAAACAGGGATGACTACAAGTTATATAGGTTTAGTTGCAAATTAGTTCAAGGAGAGATATACTAATCACAAGTTATCCTTATAACCTTAAATATGAATATAATACTAGTTTATCCAAGCACATCTGGGGCCTAAAGAAGATAAACGAACCATTTACATTATCCTGGTCAGTAATAGTCAGTAAAGCCTGCTAAACCATATAATCAATCCTGTAGCAAAAACGTGCAATCTCTGTCTGATGGAAAAAACTTGTATATCGTTATCTGAGGATGTAAACCTATTGAATAAAAGAAGCGAAGTAATGACCAAGTTTAGGCACCGAGAGAAATTCCTACTTAGTAAATGTTACAAGACCTGAGGAGAAGTTAACAAGAGAAGAACTTTATGAATTGTCATTTCAATCAGATTTTTTTTAAGTAAAACAATATTTATCACTTTCTGTAAAAATCCGTGAAATAAAAATTATAATTTTATAATTATCCAATCATTGTAAAAAATGGTCCAATATCAGTTTTATTCCAACTGATGATTGGGTTAGACCCATGAAACATTATGTCTTGGAAAAAATATATATTTAGACATCTAAAATGTATATTTAAACTGAAAAAAAGTTGAAAATACCAAAGACTTTGCTAACTATAAAGACGAGGCGTTGGAAAAAAGAACCTGTCAAATCATTCGTTGGGATGTTTAGAAAGATGAAAATTTCCCTGTATGATAATTGAAGGACTGCAGTATGGAATTGGTGAATCATATTGACGTACTTTAAGCCTAGGGGTGTCAGAAATGATTTTTTTTGCACTTTTTTGAAAACGTCCCATAAACCTAAAAAGTTTAAAATAAGTATTAATAAATATTGCTTTATATCGAGTAGATATCCTTAAACATATCGATGTGAAACCTTTCAGAGAGTAGGAAAGATTCTGCAGAAAAAGTTGCCAAACCAAACAGAATTTTTATTTTGAACAAAAATATTTAGAACTTATATAGAAGCTTTTGTGGGTTGCACTTTACTCTAGTTTTGCACAATTTTCATTTGTGTAAAAGTATAAAAGAGATTATGTTTATATGGTTTAAAAGTTTGCAAAGTACTGGGCTAATTACTGGGGTATACTGGGAGGAGGGGGTACAGAAACCAAAAAGAATTTTTTATTTTTAATAAAAATATATAAGTAGAGTCAGAAGCACTTCTAAGCATATTTTCTATATAGTTTTCCACTATTTTTATGGATAAAAAAGCTAGTTTAATACTAATCAGCTGATCACTTAATGGAGGGAGGGATGGCAACCACGCCAATTTGTAATCCCCATATCTGCAGGGTACTGTTGGGTACTGCTGGGTACTTATCTATTTAATTACAAACAAATCATTCAGATATTACAACCTATAGTCATCGATTATCTTTCGCCACATTTGTATATAGTTGATTTTTCATCGATGTCGTCTTCATTACCAAAAATCCTCGAAACTGGAATAAATGTTTTTCATAAGTAAATCTCCGATCATAACAAACTAAAGTAGTTTCCTTGTTTTCCTTTTAAAAAACTATTTAATTCATTACAAAAGACGACAGGGTAAATATATACCGGATTTCTGGAGAAGACGACATTACTTACTATCTATAAGCTAACCCGAGAAAATGTCAAATTTGCGTAGATTATCTGGTGCGCTGTCTTTAATTAGCAAAGTCTTTGGAAAATACTATATATTTATATATATACATATATATATATATTTGTATATATTTTAGCTATAGCTGGCCAAACGTCTGAACTAAATTGGCTGAAAGTTCTTGAGGGAACCCACGGGGGTAACATAGGCGAAATTTTTTTAACTTTAATCATAAATCGATTTTTTTAAATTTTCACTTTAGGAAGATCTAACCTTTACACCGGTAGCATATTTAAGAATGGATACAGTTGTAAATGTTATGAACACTACAATTAATGCTGATGTGAACAGTAATCTTAGATATTTAAAACATTTTATTCCAACCATAATCTCCAGTAGCTAGGTTAGCACTACTTTCATGTAGGTGTTCTTAACTATATGTTTGTATTGTTAGTTTAACTGAAAATAAACAAAACCCTTCGATTATCAATATTTACTAAGGGTGTCACATTTTTAAGCACAATTTTTAACTTTAAGTTTTTAATTAACTATAAATTGCCTGGCATACTCCGCTAAATTAACATGGGTACTGGAAATGGGTAAGGTAGTCATACAATTCTTGTGATTCTAGCTTCTGTACCTTGCCCATGTCATAATCTGGTACAGGACACAGAGGATAGCGAACTGGTCCTAGAACTGTCTTTGGATAAGATATGTTGTAGGCGAGTATACGCATAATTGTGATTGGCATTTCTTTGGCGGACTGGGAATTCTCTACCAATAGATAGTCTTAATCAGTGACCTCAGACACGTACAGATCTTCCCCGTACTCGATCAACCTTTTATTTATGCGAGGGTTGTTAATTGTTTTTGAAAATGATCGTTAAATGATCGTTTTTTGTTTCATTTTTCAATCGTTTTTTCAAAAGAGATAGTTTTTTAGAAAACAATTGTATAAAAAATAGTCGCAAATCGTTTTTACAAAGACGACCGTTTTTAAAAACGACCCAATTGTATTGAACTTTTAGAAAACGAATAATGATCGTTTTTTATTTTTTATTTTTGATTATTAAAATTAAACTTATCACTTTTTAAATTTTAATTCAGAAATTTAAATTTTTACTTCTGGTTTCTTTTAATTTTACTTTACTTTTCATTATTAATTTTTATTCATCAAAATAATATTTTTAATTTGGTAATTTTTTATTAATAAATTTAATCCTATTTTTTGATCTGTAATATTTTTGATCTAGTACTGTTTACCATTATTAGGTTTTTTATTTTTCAGGAGTAGGATTCTTCCCATCGAGACATTGATGTTTGAAAACGAACCTCTGATTCTATTGCTAGGAAATCAAACCCTACAGAACAAAGAATAGAAAGCCAAGGCAAGAGAGTCCTTCAATCCTCTGAAACAGTTTAAAAGAAGGGGACTCAGAAAGAGAAAATTGAGTAAAGATCCACAGACTGTTATCCAACAGGAAAGCCAAAGAAAGGAGAGTTAATAAAAAGAATATGGAAAACGTCAACATAGTATTTATCAAGAATGGTTTTCTTTGTTATTTATATGTTTAATCTTCTGAATAGTATTATATGTATATCATCATTTTTATCAAATGAAAATATATCTAATATTTTTTTGTAAAATTGGAAATCCGCAAAACCTATTTGGGAAAATCTACAAATCTACTGAACATCTACAGGGGCCTACGAAGGGGGGGGCGAGCCCCCCGGCCCCCCCTTTATGAGGGGGGCACTCATGGGGAGGACTCTTTTAATATTACATCTGCTTGAATTTCCCTTCCTCCGGCAATCTACATTCTACATTGCATTGCATTGCACTGACCCAAACTAAAAGATTCAGAAAAGAAAAAATATATTCTGTATCCCAACAATACCCTTCAAAGCTTTGTCTGATCAAGTATTGCATTAAACATCTATGTTTCCCATTTCTTATTTGTGGTCTCATAAAAAATGCTTTAAAATCTCACGTTTGCCTTTAACTAAAAAAGATTTTAATATAAAAGCTTTAATCAATACTGCCTTCATTGTGTATACATATTTGAAATCATAATTTATAAAGCAATATGTATCGATAGCAGGGGTTTTTAGAGTGGGGGGCACAATGTTGCCAAGGGGGGGCACAAAAATTTTTATAATCTGCCCTGCCCCCTTCACAAATGCTCTTGTATGACCCTGTACATCTACTGACTAAGGAGTATGAGAAAGGGTGAAATTGCAACTGGTGAGTATTACTTAAAAATTGTTAATAGTGAACATATTGCATCATACATAAGTTTTCTATTGTTTTATCAAAAAATGAGAGTTTTCCTTCATACTTTGCCTTTGTTCCATGTCTAAATAATTTCTTTTTCTAGACATTTTTGTCTCTGATTTTATTCGTAAATTCATAGCATAAGAAAGGTAAAGTATGAAGGAAACTCCCATTTGAAGATACAACAGCGAAAGAAAACTTATTTAAACATTTGTAAACTTTGAAAAAATAGATTAATGAGTTATATAAATCATACACACATTATAAAAAATAAATTTAAAACGTCAATACTTAATTGTTCATAAAATTATCTTTAACATTTAGTCCAAAAAAAAAGAATTACTTGCAAGAAAACATCTTTATCAATTCAGTTTTTTTACAGAATAATTGGTGAGGTAAACATGGACCTATCACAAAGTTTTTGAAAAAATATGGGAAAAAATATTTTTCCCAACATTTTGTGTTTGGTTCAATACTAGATCACATTTCAGCTCTGCATGCAAAAATCAGAGTGAAATCTCTGTTAATAAAGTCAGATGGCTTCTTTGTCCTTTATGAGGGAGAAAATGCGGGAAAAATGGGGGAAATGGTGAAGGAGAGGGCGAAATGCAATATAGAGTCCAAAATTGATTTTACTGTCCCAAAGAAAGTGACTTTACACACCCCACATGGACCTAACACAAAGTTTTTGAAAAAATGTCTGAAAAATGCAGGAAAAATTAAGGGAAAACTTAAATTTATAAATTATAAATTAAAAATTGTAAATTAAAATTATAAATTATAAATTATAGATTATAGATTATAGATTATAGATTATAGATTATAGATAATAGATTATACATTATACATTATACATTATAGATTATAGATTATGGATTATAAATTATAAATTATAAATTATAAATTATAATTTATAAATTATAAATTATAAAATATAAATTATAAATTAGTTTTTAACTTCAATAATTTATTTTTAATTAAATTTTACAATAATTTTGAATAGTAATATGATATCAGGTGAAAATATTTTGATATTTCTATATTTCTTCTTCTCTTTCTTCTTGTTCATCTTTCATACATCTTTCAATCATATAACGGCTAATTTTGAAAAAAGGATGATTTTGTAAACTAGCCATTTTTACAAGAAGGTAAATTATAAATTGGTATTTATTTGAGTTTTATATCTATTTCTCGAAACAGGAATATCAGATAGAACTTCCATGGGTCTTGATCAAGTCCTAAGCAAGCAATCTTGTATGGGAAAGACTAGAAGACTTAATCAACCTCTAATATTTATTGTAATTGTATAGTATTAGTCGTGCTAAATTTTAGTCAAACTTACTATATTAATTATAAAATATTCATTCTTTCTTCTGATACTAATAATACACAATTTTTTTTTTATTTCTTACATGATGAAAATTTTTATTTATATTTTAACTTAAAACATGATAAATTAGTATGTTTTATATCTATTTCTCGAAACAGGAACATCCGATAGAACTTCCAAGGGGTTTGATCAAGTCCTAATATTGTATATGAATAAAAATCAATAAAGCAATGCACTGAGTTTCTTAAATATTCAACGAGTCGGTTTTTCTTACAATATATTTATATACAAAAGATACAAACTTTAAATCGAACGATACTTATACAAACTAAATATTATGAATCTAATCAGTTCCATCAAACAGGGGACATTTTACATTTTCATTTTCATCGTCTCACTTATACAAACTAAATATTATTAATCAAATCAGTTTCATCAAATAGGGGAATTCTTCAAAGGGACCTTTAGATCAAGGGAGCTGACGATCAACTGCCTGTCCCCCTTCGATTTTGCTCCATCCTAGGATCGCATTTAACCCTAGCTACCCCGGGGTTGTTCCGCCCCCTCCCCAACGCTTGGGTCTTCAAGATAACGGAAAATTCGGCGTCNGACAGGTATCCCATACAACATACAACTGGTTTAATAGACCGGTATCCCATACAACATACAACTGGTTTAATAGACAGGTATCCCATACAACATACAACTGGTTTAATAGACAGGTATCCCATACAACATACAACGAAAGATCTATATATATAAAGTTGCAATCTCTGTTTGTTTGGATGCCCGATCATAACTCAGGAACCCTTTGCCGCTAATTTTGTTTGGGGAACTTGATCAGACCCACAAAAATATTATTAGCTTGGTTTTGAGATTCTAAATTGAGTCGGTCAACTTTTATTGGGAAAAATAGCTAAAATCATAAATTACTACCAACAGCGGGTAAACAGTGGGAGTAACTATGAGTACCCTGGGCATTGGGCAACACTGGATTATCAAGCGAGTAACTAAATGTTTCACTCTTTTCAGATCTAAGTTTATTGAGTTTGAGTTTGAGGCGGGAAAGACCAGCAAGGTACGTATCAAACAAAAATTAAAGTACTTTTGTGATATTTTATACAGTCTACAGAGTAGGAACAGATCAAAGAAACTGATTTTTTGCCACAAACTCTGATTTTCTAATTACTAATGATACGATGTTGTTACCTCATACCTCCTGTTCTTATTTCACACCCAACTATGCATATTCCCAATTCAAAAATACCTTTTAGGTAATAAAGGGATTTTTAAAGCTTTTTGGACCATCTAGAATTTTTTTAATTTAAGATATTATTTTTAGTTCTTTTGCAATATTTTTCCCAAGTTGTCCTGGGAAAGAAAAATTTTACACGAAGGGAACTCGCTCATCATGTTCTCAAACATTCAAGTTGGGTCTGGAGAACCTAGGTACACAAAATCAAATGTTTCGTTATTTGAATGACACAAATAAGAAAATGTAGGATGTAAGTGATATGCAGGACTAATGATTTGTAGGATAAACGATTGCAGGACAAATGATTGCAGATTATAGTACAAATGCTTGTATATTGTTGGACACTTGATTGCAGGACAAATGATTGTAGATTACAGGACAAATGCTTGTATATTGTTGGACAATTGATTGCAGGACAAATGATTGCAGATTATAGGACAAATGCTTGTATATTGTTGGACAAATGATTGTAGATTATAGGACAAATGCTTGTATATTGTTGGACAATTGATTGTAGGACAAATGATTGTAGATTATAGGACAAATGCTTGTATATTGTTGGACAATTGATTTTAGGACAAATGATTGTAGATTATAGGACAAATGCTTGTATATTGTTGTATAATTGATTGCAGGACAAATGATTGTAGATTATAGGACAAATGCTTGTATATTGTTGGACAATTGATTGTAGGACAAATTATAAAAGAATATTCATTCTTTCTTCTGATACGAATGCACAGTTTTTTTTTATTTTATACATAATAACATTTTTTATTTATATTTTAACTTAAAACATGATAAAATAAGTTTACTAGTAAAACTTTTCGCTTTGTAACAATATCAAATACACTTATATTACTATATTGTCCACCTATTCCACAGTGTTCTGGTTCTCACTGTATACATATTTTCTGAAAAATATTAT